CTTTGCTGTCCCCCCTCCGTTCCTCCCCCTTTGCTGTCCCCCCTCCGTTCCTCCCCCTTTGCTGTCCCCCCTCCGTTTCTCCCCCTTTGCTGTCCCCCATCCGTTTCTCCCCCTTTGCTGTCCTCCCTCCGTTTCTCCCCCTTTGCTGTCCCCCCTCCGTTCCTCCCCCTTATGCTGTCCCCCATCCGTTTCACCCCCTTTGTTGTCCCCCCTCTGTTCCTCCCCCTTTGCTGTCCCCCCACCGTTCCTCCCCCTTCGCTGTCCCCCCTCCGTTCCTCCCCCTTTGCTGTCCCCCCTCCGTTCCTCGCCCTTTGCTGTCCCCCCTCGGTTCCTCCCCCTTTGCTGTCCCGCCACCGTTCCTCCCCCTTTGCTGTCCCCCTCCGTTCCTCCCCCTTTGCTGTCCCCCCTCCGTTCCTCCCCCTTTGCTGTCCCCCATCCGTTCCTCCCCCTTTGCTGTCCCCCCTCCGTTCCTCCCCCTTTGCTGTCCCCCATCCGTTTCTCCCCCTTTGCTGTCTTCCTCCGTTCCTCCCCCTTTGCTGTCCCCCACCGTTCCTCCCCCTTTGCTGTCCCCCCTCCGTTCCTCCCCCTTTGCTGTCCCCCCACCGTTCCTCCCCCTTTGCTGTCCTCCCTCCGTTCCTCCCCCTTTGCTGTCCCCCCTCCGTTCCTCCCCCTTTGCTGTCCCGCCTCCGTTCCTCCCCCTTTGCTGTCCCCCCTCCGTTCCTCCCCCTTTGCTGTCCCCCTCCGTTCCTCCCCCTTTGCTGTCCCCCCACCGTTCCTCCCCCTTTGCTGTCCCCCCTCTGTTCCTCCCCCTTTGCTGTCCCCCCACCGTTCCTCCCCCTTTGCTGTCCCCCCTCCGTTCCTCCCCCTTTGCTGTCCCCCCTCCGTTTCTCCCCCTTTGCTGTCCCCCCTCCGTTTCTCCCCCTTTGCTGTCCCCCATCCGTTCCTCCCCCTTTGCTGTCCCGCCTCCGTTCCTCCCCCTTTGCTGTCCCCCCTCCGTTCCTCCCCCTTTGCTGTCCCCCCTCCGTTCCTCCCCCTTTGCTGTCCCCCCACCGTTCCTCCCCCTTTGCTGTCCCCCCTCCGTTCCTCCCCCTTTGCTGTCCCCCCTCCGTTCCTCCCCCTTTGCTGTCCCCCCTCGGTTCCTCCCTCTTTGCTGTCCCCCATCCGTTTCTCCCCCTTTGCTGTCCCCCCTCCGTTCCTCCCCCTTTGCTGTCCCCCCTCCGTTCCTCCCCCTTTGCTGTCCCCCCTCCGTTCCTCCCCCTTTGCTGTCCCCCCTCCGTTCCTCCCCCTTTGCTGTCCCCCCTCCGTTCCTCCCCCTTTGCTGTCCCCCCTCCGTTCCTCGCCTTTTGCTGTTCCCCCTTCGTTCCTCCCCCTTTGCTGTCCCCCCTCCGTTCCTCCCCCTTTGCTGTCCCCCCTCCGTTCCTCCCCTTTGCTGTCCCCCCTCCGTTCCTCGCCCTTTGCTGTTCCCCCTTCGTTCCTCCCCCTTTGCTGTCCCCCATCCGTTCCTCCCCCTTTGCTGTCCTGCCTCCGTTCCTCTCCCTTTGCTGTCCCCCCTCCGTTCCTCCCCCTTTGCTGTCCCCCTCCGTTCCTCCCCCTTTGCTGTCCCCCCTCCGTTCCTCGCCCTTTGCTGTTCCCCCTTCGTTCCTCCCCCTTTGCTGTCCCCCCTCCGTTCCTCCCCATTTGCTGTCCCCCCTCCGTTCCTCCCCCTTTGCTGTCCCCCTCCGTTCCTCGCCCTTTGCTGTTCCCCCTTCGTTCCTCCCCCTTTGCTGTCCCCCCTCCGTTTCTCCCCCTTTGCTGTCCCCCCTCCGTTCCTCCCCCTTTGCTGTCCCCCCTCCGTTCCTCGCCCTTTGCTGTCCCCCCTCGGTTCCTCCCCTTTGCTGTCCCCCCTCCGTTCTTCCTCCTTTGCTGTCCCCCATCCGATTCTCCCCCTTTCCTGTCCCCCCTCCGTTGCTCCTCCTTTCCTGTCCCCCCTCCGTTCCTCCCCCTTTGCTGTCCCCCCTCCGTTCCTCCCCCTTTGCTGTCCCGCCTCCGTTTCTCCCCCTTTGCTGTCCCCCATCCGTTTCTCCCCCTTTGTTGTCCCGCCTCTGTTCCTCCCCCTTTGCTGTCCCCCCACCGTTCCTCCCCCTTTGCTGTCCCCCCTCCGTTCCTCCCCCTTTGCTGTCCCCCCACCGTTCCTCCCCCTTTGCTGTCCCCCATCCGTTTCTCCCCCTTTGCTGTCCCCCCTCCGTTCCTCCCCATTTGCTGTCCCCCCTCCGTTCCTCCCCCTTTGCTGTCCCCCCTCCGTTCCTCGCCCTTTGCTGTTCCCCCTTCGTTCCTCCCCCTTTGCTGTCCCCCCTCCGTTTCTCCCCCTTTGCTGTCCCCCCTCCGTTCCTCCCCCTTTGCTGTCCCCCCTCCGTTCCTCGCCCTTTGCTGTCCCCCCTCGGTTCCTCCCCCTTTGCTGTCCCCCCTCCGTTCTTCCTCCTTTGCTGTCCCCCATCCGATTCTCCCCCTTTCCTGTCCCCCCTCCGTTGCTCCTCCTTTCCTGTCCCCCCTCCGTTCCTCCCCCTTTGCTGTCCCCCCTCCGTTCCTCCCCCTTTGCTGTCCCCCCTCCGTTCCTCGCCCTTTGCTGTTCCCCCTTCGTTCCTCCCCCTTTGCTGTCCCCCATCCGTTCCTCCCCCTTTGCTGTCCTGCCTCCGTTCCTCCCCCTTTGCTGTCCCCCCTCCGTTCCTCCCCCTTTGCTGTCCCCCCTCCGTTCCTCCCCCTTTGCTGTCCCCCCTCCGTTCCTCGCCCTTTGCTGTTCCCCCTCCGTTCCTCCCCCTTTGCTGTCCCCCCTCCGTTCCTCCCCCTTTGCTGTCCCCCCTCCGTTCCTCGCCCTTTGCTGTCCCCCCTCGGTTCCTCC